AAAAGATTTCCCACATTCACTGCACTCATAAGGCTTTTCTCCAGTGTGAATTCTCTGGTGTGAAAGGAAGGAAGAATTAGAAGTAAAAGACTTCCCACACTGACTACACTCATAAGGACTTCTTTCAAGGTGACAGTGACGATGAATCCGGAGGGCACGACTATGACTGAAAGACATTCCACATTCATTGCAGAGATAAGGCTTTTCTCCTGTGTGAATTCTCAGGTGTTGAATGAATGTCGACTTATAGTTCAAAGATTTTCCACATTCATTACATTTATAAGGCCTTTCACCTGAGTGAACTTTTATATGTACATTGAGGCTATTTCTTCGGAGAAAGGACTTGCCACATTCACCACATTTATAAGGCCTTTCCCCAGTGTGAACTCTCTGGTGACACTGGAGGTCAGAGACAGAGAAAAAAGATTTGCCACATTCACTGCACTCATAAGGCCTCTCTGTAGTGTGAACTCTCTGGTGATAACGAAGGGCAGAAGTAGCAGTAAAAGATTTCCCACATTTACTGCACTCGTAAGGCCTTTCTCCAGTGTGAACTCTCCGGTGTTCATGAAGGACAGAACTGGTGGTAAAAGATTTGCCACATTCACTGCACTCATAAGGCCTTTCTCCAGTGTGAACTCTCTGATGACACTGGAGGGCAGAACTAGTGGTAAAAGATTTGCCACATTCACTGCACTCATAAGGCTTCTCTCCAGTGTGAACTCTCTGGTGATAATGGAGTGCAGAACTAGCAGTAAAAGATTTGCCACATTCACTGCATTCATAAGGCCTCTCTCCAGTGTGAACCCTCTGGTGGTTATGGAGGACAAAACTAGTGGTAAAAGATTTCCCACACACTCTACATTCATAAGGCCTTTCTCCAGTGTGAATTCTCTGATGAGAACGAAGGACAGAACTTGTACTAAAAGATTTTCCACATTCACTGCATTCATAAGGTCTTTCTCCTGTGTGAACTCTCTGGTGTTTAATGAATGTTGCCTTACACTTAAAAGATTTCCCACATTCATTACACTTATAAGGCCTTTCACTTGAGTGAATCTTTATGTGTGCATTGAGGATGTTTCTTTGGAAAAAGGACTTGCCACATTCATTGCACTGATAAGGCTTTTCTGCAGTGTGAACTCTGTGATGATAATGGAGGTCAGATCTAGAGAAAAAAGATTTGTCACATTCATGACATTTATAAGGCCTGTCTCCAGTGTGAACTCTGCGGTGATAACGGAGGCCAGTACTAGAGATATAAGACTTCCCACATTCCCTACACTGATAAGGTCTTTCACCCCTGTGAGATCTCTGATGATATCTGAGAACAGAGAGAGAGATAAAACACTTCGCACATTCACCACACTGATAAGGCCTTTCACCCCTGTGAGATCTCTGATGATATCTGAGAACAGAGAGAGAGGTAAAACATTTTGCACAGTCACCACACTGATAAGGCCTCTCTCTAGGTTGAAACCTCTGAGTAATTAAAATTGAACTATGGCTAAAAGATTTTGCACATGCACTGCAAACATAATCATTTTCTCCACTGTGCCCTGTCTGGGGATGAATGAGCATAGATTTGTGGCTTAAGGATTTCCCACATTTGATGCACGTGTACTGCCTGGACCCAGTGTGAGTCCTTCCATGTTGACTAAGGATAGACCTCTGCCTAATGGATTTTCCACCTTTGCCAAACTCATGATGTCTTTCTGCAGTATGGAATCTCTGGTGGATAGCAAATAAAGATTTGTACCTGAATGTTTTCCCACATTCACTGCACACAAAACACGGTCTGCCAGGTTGGACACCCTGATCCTGAACATGTGCATGCTTGGGACCAAAGGCTGTCTTGCAATCTCCCCAAGTGTAATGACCTTTACGGCTCTGTAAAGTTGCCCTGCACTGGCTGATTGTGTTTGGCTTCTCTTCAGTATGAGTGGCGTCTTGCTGTAGATGCCCAGAGCCAGGCACGAATTCCTTCTGAACCTCAGTACAGGTGAGGGGCTTTCCTGAATCATAGAATCCATATCCCTCCACAAAAGAAGCCGTGTCCACACTACTGACTGGTTTCTCTCCCATGTGCTGCTCTGGCAGCTGCTGGAAGTTTACGCTGAAATAAAATCGTTTTGCACATGCCCCACACCTCAACAGTTTCTTGCTGCTTGGTTTTCCCTGGTGCTCAGCCAAGCGGAAAATGTCTCTCAAGACCGGACCACACGTCTCACAGGGATGGCTCTTCCAGGAAGACAGAGCTGCTTTGGGTGCGCTGGCCTTTGACACACCTACTGAAATGTTCTGTTCAAGGGGTGAGTCTGCATCCTCTGCTCCACAGCAACAACCTCAAAGCAAAGAAACTCTGATGAAATACATGGTGACTAACGTGAGGGGGTAAGCCCATCACACATAAGCACCTGTCTCACATAGGCACGAGTTGATTAGATGCTTTTCTAGGCACAGTAGTTGTAATTCACGTGAAGGAATGCCCGCTCTGCATTACTGGGCCCCTAAAGACTAAGCATTATGGATAGCTCAATGGAAGGACAAAAATTTAGGATATGATGAAAGTAACAGAGCCAAAATCTAAACCTTACTTCTCTTTTCTTAGCTCTCTGTAGGACCTTTCTTGATACTGATGTTTCCCTGAATAGAAGATTGTGAGAAAATGCATTCCCAAGACATTTGCTGCTATTCAAGGTCAGTTAAAGGACACTGAACATCTCACGGCAAAATGTTCAGGGGTGAATGTTACAGTGAACAGAAAGTCCAATGAGAGAAATGGGTTAGATGTGGTGGCCTGAAAAGGAGTGATTACACCTGTATACAAAGTCACAGAACTACCAAAGGAGTAGAACCCACAAATGTACAAGCAGTCAACAGCAAAGAAGACAGGAATGAGGTGTGGCCTTCAACAATGGCACCAAAGTCTGGTTGAACAAACAAAGGTGCCTAGGGTAATCCAAACAAAGTATTGATTTACACCTTCCCCAGCTGCCATTAACCGGAAACAGTCCCCCTTTGAAGCCACGTAGTCATGTCTGCATCACGTTCATCCTATTCTACACATTTCCTGTAAGTCCTAGGTGAGCATCTACAGGGCACAGAGAGGATAGAAATATTGTAGGAAAAGAACTAGATGGCCAGGAGTATTCCAGAGCTACCCTGCACACAACAGACTCAGAAAAGCATCCTACGTGACTGATGTCAGCAGGACAGTAGATTATAAGATGTCATTTTTCAGACTAACAAAAATCAATAGCTGTCTATGAATGACATTAGACTCCTAGAGCTCAAGGGCCCAATTAAGAGGGACTACTACACTGTGCAGCAGAAAAGAGAGTAGAGGCACTAAGAAAGGATGGCTGGAGACGATTATCACAGACATGTGGAGATGCTTAAAAAACAAAAGCTCGGGCATCTCTATCAGCCACAGGGCAGCTGCTACAACAGTCTCTGAACAGAAGAGACTCCAGCTGCCTGGTCCACAGAAGACACTGGCACTGAGTTAACCAAAGCACTATTGACCAAAGCGCTCTTGAGAAAGAAGTTCCAAGCTGAAGGCGGCACATTTCTGATTTCAAACTCCATTTTGAAGCTGTAGTAATCAAAACGATATGGTACTAAACCATAAAATAGCACTAAAGCATAAAAACAGACCAGTGTAATGGAATAAAGAGCCCAGAAGTAAATCCACACACATGCAATCAATTAATCCTTGACAATTATGTCAAGAATACACTGGGGGAAGTGAAGAAATGGGCAGATGATATGAACAGACACTTCTCCAAAGAGGAGATCCAGATGGCCAACAGACACATGAAACGATGCTCAGCATCCCTCCTCATCAGGGAAATACAAATCAAAACCACACTGAGATACCACCTCACGCCAGTCAGAGTGGCTAAAATGAGCAAATCAGAGAACTCTAGATGCTGGCGAGGATGTGGAGAAA